TAAATACTGGACACAAGAAGTGTTGCAGAAAGGTGATTTTATTTAGGTAGAGAAAAGAAAAGGAAAGGAGAAGAAGAGAAAAGCTTCCATGAAGAGTGTGGAAGGGCATTCCAGACGGGAAATCCCGGAGGGGAAAGGGAGCTTCCACTGTGTGGGAGGGGATTCCAGAGAGCTAGAAATCCAGTGTGGGTGAAGGAGCAGGGGAATTTATCTTGGGAGAAATTCCCACCTTTCCAAGTTTTTTTAGCCAATGAAAGGAGTTTCTTAGAACTTCCACTGGAGTGATTGACTTTTAGTTTCTTCCTACGCCTGTGAAATTTAAACATAAACCATTAAAACTCCCGGTTTTAAAACTCCCGGATGGAGAGAGATGGGAGGGGGGCATGGCGCTGGGAAATTCTTGCCCTTAAAACTACGCCCCCTCATGGACCCGGAAAGAGAACATATTTTCTCATTCCCCACTCTGAACAGGAAAATTCAACTTCTGTTGGAATAGGGGCGTTGATTTTCTTTAACTACTTTTTGCTGAAATGGGGAGTAGAAGGGCCCCTGCAGTTGAGTTTTTTTCAGAGGAGAGCCTTTTAGGGGTACAGGTTGATTTACAGGTTCACGATAGAGCTTACTAGCTAAGGACATCCAGGATTCCAGCAGCAGGATTAATTGTGATCTTATGGTTTTATAAGAAATGAATATGACCAGGTGGTTAAAGATGAGAGGCCCAGAGTTATAAACGAGCCTAGGAGAGAACAGAGCCACATTCTTGAAGGTTTTCAAGCCCTGTTTTTGATTGATTCCTGAGTTTTATGCTTAAAACAACATTTAACTGGCTTACAAAATACCAGCATTTTCTCTAGAAAGAAACAGGTTTCCCTCATCTCTGTTGTTAGCAGATTTAGGGCCCTTTTATTTTTAAAGCTATGTCAGCTAAAGAGTTAAGCTGGTTTGCAGAGAGAGCTGCTTTTTGCAGAGAGAATTAGCAATCTTTTTTTGTTAATTTACTTCTGAGATAGCTTATAGTAACTGAATAGAGGTAGTAATTTTTCTAATACCAGCACCAAGTTTTCAGAGCAGGAGAGAAATACTGAGAAGGCCATGCCAGCGCCTAGGAGAGGATTGGCTTCCTGGACCTTTATGGCATTACCTGAGGCTTTGTGAGGGTGATGGCTTGTGCTGGCACGTATTCCAGGCATTCTAAATCGTGCCATTGGGTTATCTGGTTAGACACCTCAGGCCCAGGGGACCTTGGTTTCTAGGGACAGTGTGCTTTCCAGTGATTCCCTTGGCACAGGTGGGCATGGATGAGGTGGTGGTTTATTCTTCTGGGGACAGTTTTTTACAACATGTCCCTTCAGACCATACTGGTAACAAGTTCTGCCAGCCTGGCAGCTAACCTGAGACTTTCCCTCATTTGAGTCCCTGGGGTCTGCTTGCCTGAAGGTCCTAACTAAGGCAGCAGCCCTTTCCTGATTTCTCCTGATTCTTTTGGCTTGTTTATCTTGGTTTTTATTATAACCAAGGTTGCCTGGTTCAGCAATGACTTTAGACTCTGCTTTGGTCCTAAGGCCAGCTTCTGAAGCTTTCTCCTGATATCTGCTGCTGACTGAGTAATAAACTTGTTCTTTAGTATTAACTGACCCTTCACAGTCTGTTGACAGGGGAGTGTGTTTTCTTAAAGCCTCTTGAAATTGCTTAAGGAAAGCTCTTGGGTTTTTTTCCCTTCTCTTTGGAGGTTAGGTTTTCTCACTTAACAGGGTTTTGACCACTTTGTTTGGCAGAGAAAGATGAGCCGCTTTTTCTTTAAAAGTTGTGTATTAAATTGGTCTCAATTTTCCAGTATACATTTTAATGGGGACTTGACCTTGGGAATAGAAGCACCCATTTGAAATTGAACACAGGGATGCCTGCATCCCCAGTTAAAAAATTACAGCCGCTTTGACCTGAGGCGTCCCCCAGGTAAAATGGGTACTGAAATGAAAGGTTTTCTGTCAGTACCCCGAAATTTTGTGTGCCCAAGATGTGTGATTCATCTTATTAGAGGACTCTCCATGAACTGGGTCCCAATTACGACCTACCAGCATTATGGACTTATGCCCATGGCCTCCCATGACCTTTAGTGACCACCATAGAGGCATGGAACGAAATAAGCTATTAGATTAGGTGGTAAGCCTTCCAACGAACTCCCATTAGGCTAGTGAGAGTCAGGAGATGGGTAGCAATATTTCTAGCAAAGGTCCAACTTGCAGGCCAATTTATAAAACTGCCCTAGAAGGGTAAACTTTTAGGGAGAAGTTATTAGAGCACACAATTTAAAGAAGCAGGCTGGGCCGCTGCAGCTGTCCTGCCCATTTTGAGTGCCTTTCTGCCTCGCCTCCTGCTGGAGGAGAAAGTTTGCCTTGCCCCTGCTTGGGGACCTGTGGCCACCATGCTGCTGGGACTATATGCGTACCTGGGCCACTCCCCTTGCTACCATGTTGCCAGGACCATATGCGTGCCCTGGGCCACTCCCCCAGCCCTCCCCACACATCCCAGGGGCCCGTGGCTGGCATGTGAGCACCCCAGGGGAAGTCCTTGTTCTGTTCCTGTTTTTTTTTATGAGCTATGTTTTGCAGTTTTATGCTGCCCCCAGCTAGGGATTCCAATGTGCTGGCCAGTGAGCAAGCGAGTCAGCAAAAGCATTTTCTGCGGGGGCTTCCCTAAATATTACTGCTTTGCTCAGAGCCTCTGTGCCAGGTGGGACGCACCTTGCCCCACAGCTTTTCTCCCTGCCTGCTGTGCTCCAGCTTACTGTAGGGCTGGGCTTTGGGCCACCCTAGTTCCCATTTCCGCTAGCAGCAGTGAAATGCCTGGGGTGGGGGAGCGTGCTTGCTCTACCCTGCCTCTTCAGGAGCCTAACACCTGTCCATGCCTGTGCACACCTGGTTCTACCCCTGGTACAAACTGAGTATTTGCTTCTCCCACCTCCCACAGGTTTTTAGTTTCTTCCTGCGTCCACTAAATTTAAACATAAACCATTAAAACTCTAGCAGGGAGAGATATGGAAGTGGGGCATGGTGCTGGGAAATTCTTGCCCTTAAAACTACACCCCATTTTGGACCTGGAAAGAGAACACATTCCCTCATTTCCTTGTAGTTGATGATTTCAGTAATAATAATAGAAACCTGGTAAATAATATGACATTGAACTGTTTTTTTTTTCTATTCAATATTATCTCCTGGAGATATAATCCTAGAGTTAACAAACCTGAATTAAATGGTAGAAATATGTAACAACTCTTGATACATATCACCAAATTGGTTTTGCATAAGTTTTATACCAATTGACAGCTCCATTTGCAATAAATAATTGTCTCTTTGATCATATGCTTAGCCTATACAATGGAGCACTGTACAAACATGTATATACATGAGTCATACATATAATAATTAACGATGCTCTATTTTGGTTTATAATTTGCAATTCTTTACTAGTGAAGGGGATTTTCAGTTGTATTATTTGTTTTGATCTAGACATTTTACTGCTTTTATTTGCTAATATTTAGTAGAAATTACATGCCATTCTATTGTTATATTTGTTCCTAATATTTTTGTTTTGTTAGCTACTTATTAATGGTTTATTTTAATATATAAGAATTTTCCAGTTTTATACAATAAAAAAAGCAAAAACAAAGCATCCATTAAGGGATGTGCTAGGTGCCATTAGTACTTGCTGTTATTATCTCCAAGTTACAGATGAGGGAACAGAGGCCTAGGGAAATTAATAACATCCTCGAGGTTACACAAATCAAAGAATCAAATAAGCATTTAGATTATAGAGCAGAATTTGCAAATAGGTACATGTAAACATTGAAGCATTTTGTTTGGTACCTGGAGCGTTTGAAGCTTTTGAAGAGCCTGGTGCTGTGACCCATGCCTAAATCTCAGAACTTGGGAGGATCACTTGAGGCCCGGAATTCAATACTAGCCTTGGCAATGTAGTAAGATACCACCACATCTCCCATTGTGCTGATCCCAGCTTTATGAAAAAAATAAGAAAAATAAATATAGCTGGTCATGGTGATATGCACCTGAAGTCCAAGATATTTGGGAGGCTGAGGCAGAAGGAGCCCTTGGGTCAAGAAATTCTTGGCTGCAGTGAGCTATGATTTAACACTGCACTACAGCAAAAACTACTAAAAATAGATATAAAATTCTTAGCAAAAACTAAGAGTTTTTATATCTACGTTTTATCTAATTTAATTTGTATAAATTTAAATATTATCATCTCTAGTTATTCTCAGATCATCAAATCTTTCTTACTCCAATAGTTTGATTAAATACTTGTTTTAAATTTCCTCATACTTTTTCTACCTTGTTTATTTTAGGAATGAAGTAACTGAGATACAGATTATTACTATTTGAACATCAACACTTAGAAACTTGGCTACTTTCACTCTTTGAATGTTTGTAGCTGGCAACCATGGCTGTGGTTAATCACCATTTTCCACATTTTAGTATGGAGTTTTGTATTCTGTCTTTGGCACATCCAATAGTGCTGCAGTTACATTATATTACAAGCTTTACTTTGTAAAGTTGAAGATACCTTCTGACTCTCATCACAAAGGAAGATGTGAAGTGTACAAATTTAGTCATGGTGGAAGTTCTCTCTTAGGACATCTTTCCCTCAAATTGTATTTTTTTTGTCTTTGTTGACTGAATTTTTGTTAGTGATTCAGTAGAATAAGTTTTATGAATGACTGATACCAATGAACAATTGAAGTCATCTGTTTGTAAAAGGGAATTGTGGAAGATTCATGGCAGAGTACAAATTACTGAATGAAAATTATATGGCCCATTTATCAAAACTAATGTACAAATGAGTTTATATCATCACTGTAAAGAATGGCTAGAATCATTGACACAGTATAATGTCTTATACTTTTTATTTGTTTCCAAATCAATGTGCTAATTTCCAGTCCTCTATTACCCTCCCCAACTGGTTTCCTTTTTTTTCTGGTTCTTTAGTGGATGTGAAGTCAGAAGTTCCTGTGGGCCTGGAGCCCATTTCGCCTTTAGACCTAAGGACAGACCTCAGGATGATGATGCCTGTGGTGGACCCTGTTGTCCGTGAGAAGCAATTGCAGCAGGAATTACTTCTTATCCAGCAGCAGCAACAAATCCAGAAGCAGCTCCTGATAGCAGAGTTTCAGAAACAGCATGAGAACTTGACACGGCAGCACCAGGCTCAGCTTCAGGAACATATCAAGGTAGCAAATGCTTCTTTGTCTGTGACCTTACTCAGCAGTCTGCACCATGGTGGGCATAAGCATTGCCCATGGGAACACTTTGTGGATAGATTTCACTGTGATTAAGACATGGATATATGGCTTGAAGGGAATTCTGATTTTACTAGTGAAAATTTGGGGTAAGTACCTGTTAAAAACCTGTTTTGCTTCTTAGAGGGGCCTTCTTTATCCTCAGCACATGGAATCAATAGTAGGGAATAGTAACTTTCCATCCTAATTTTATATTTTCTCCTACATGATTTTGTTCATTTGCCCCATTGCTCTCCACCATAAAGAAGCATGACCCCAGAAGACCCATTTTATATCTCTGAAGAGTCTACATATACTATTTGTGAGAAAGGATAGTCTTTTATATGAAGAGAGCTGTTTTTGGAAAAAAAATGTATAGTATATAAGTAGATGTTCTGAGTATGTCCTCATCTTCCCTATAGGAAAAAATCTCATAATGTATACATTCAAAATAATAGTATAATACAAAGCTTAAGGGAGTTATAAATGAAGAAACTGGTACAAATATTTTTATAGACTGTAGATAAGAATTTATTGAAAATATTTGGGAGTAGTTGACATTTTGAGACTAAAGTTGTTTAAATTATTATAGCACAAGTGTATCCATTTTCCAGAATTTTTTTATGAAAGCTCATTTTATAATCAAATAATTCTAGATGAGTCTGTTTTTATTTTTTCTTTTGTATCCTCAGAGATAAATATTAGTTTTGCTTTATTTGTAAAATATCTTGCAACTTTTTGACAAAGACAGTTGAAACAAGGCTATTTTAGTCTGACTAAATAGATATTTAATTTAAATTTATTATGAAAGTAAGATAAAAGCAGTAGATTTACAATAAACATTTTATTTTTATATCCAACTCTTTCAAAGATGACAAATATTTGCTAATTTATGAATGAAATAAGTTCTGTTATATCATACTTTACTATTTTGTATTATAGGAACTTAATTTATTACTTGAATATCAAATATAAACACATCAATATACAATTACTATACATAACTAATGTTAATAGTATATAATTTTATCACGTTAATATGACAGTTTCTAACAAGGTAAAACTGTTGTCTTCATCTCTATGTTACTTGGTTTATAAGATGTTTTGTAACCTTGGAAGGCACTTACTATCTTATATTCCTAAAAAGGCTCTTTGACATGTAATATACAATATAATTTTTTTCTTTACTCCTGAACTTTCCTAAAAGAACTCTTGCATATTATTGATCTATAAAATGCCTTAAAATAGGAATATTTTTCTTTGTTCCAAATTGAATCAGTAGCTCATGGCTACATTTTGAAGTATAGATAGCCTTTCTTTAGTTTTTAGACTTATTTTTAAATGAATACCGAAGCATTATTTCAGTTTGACCTTTGAAACAATAATAGAAACAGTGATGTCTAGATCTGGTTGTTTCCTTCCAGCATGTTAGGATGGCAAAGAGGAATGAGTAAAATTTACATTTTTCACCAAACTTTAAGATCTAAGGAACTGTGTAGTTCATTTTGCTGCTTTATGTGAGTCATGTTTCCCTAAATACAGGGCAATACTGATAAGTTACTGCTTTAGATACTTCTTTTCATTTCTGTTGATGTCTTTTATAGCTATAAAATCAATATAAATTGTTTAGAAGGAAATTTTTTGCTTAATCTTACTCAAAAGGTAATAGTAGCAAGTAGATAATTAATTGTTCATTTGTCACAAACAAAACAATAGTGTAGGTTTATTGACATCTGGAAAATGTTGTAAAAGTGGCTCCTGTGAGAAAAAAGGATTGAGATAGCTAAAAGAAAAATTTAGCTTTTTAAATGATTTTACAAAATAATTACGTTGTTTTCTTGGAAACTGAAGAAGTAATTAAAATGTCCTTTTCAGATTAGGAAGTTTATTGTTTAAAAAATTTTTTGTTTTGTTTTGTTGTATTTTTTATGGGTAAGTTGATGCTTTTCATTAAGATTTTATTTTTATGGGGAAGTTACAGTGCACAATGCTTTAGTTATATTGGCTTTTTGAATGTTTGGCTTCTGTAATAATCAATATTTGTTCAGTTAGATTCTGTTATCCCATTTTTCCACCTAGTAAACTGAGGTAGAGGCAATAATGTTACCTTTCCAAGGTTACACAGCCAGTAAGTGGGTGCTCCAAGATTTACAGTCTTGTCCTGTCTGCCTCCAAAGCTCTTAAGTTGCCATGCCTCTCTCGTGGGCCAGAACATGTAGAAATAGAGGGCTAAAGTTTTATTTCTTTCTATTGTTTTAAACCTAATTCATGCACTCTTTGATAATGAATAGTAGCTTGGTAATTAAATTGTGTGCTTTTGTAGATTCCTATTAAAGATTAAAGTTCAAATATATTGGGGCGTTGAGTGAAGCACCAATTTTTTTTGACCAACTCAAGTATCTGTATAGAATTTAACAGTAAGGCAGAGTTTAAGCATTCCTCCTGCTACAATATTATTTTGATACAATGGAATAACACCCATTAAGGGACTGGTGTATTGAAGCCAAAACACCAAAGATTTTAATATGAAGACTAGCCAGAAATGCTTCTAACTATGTCTTCTGGGAGTAATAAGGCTGCTATGGTTGACATGCAGAGTTAGCTTCCTTATGCTCCAGAGTAACTCTGATGCCATTCTATATAATAGCTTTTTATTTTTGTTCTATTACTTTTTTGTATAAAATCAAGAGTTTTAGGCACCTATCTAATGTAAAAAACAAAGTTTACTAACTTTATTAGTACTGAAAATTACCAACACATGTTAAGTATCCCTTATCTGAAATACCTAGGACCAGAAGTATATCATATTTTGGATTTTTTTTCTGGATTTTGGAATATTTACATATCTGTACATAATGAGATATTTTGAGATGGGACTCAAGTCAAAATATAAAATTCCTTTATATTTTATATACATCTTATACACATAGGCTGAAGGTAATTTTATACAATAATAGTTTTGTGCTTTAGACAAAGGTACATTGAACTATCACAAAGGAAAACTGTCACAGTCTCAGCCACCCATGTGGACAGTCTGTGGTTGTTTGGCATCATTATCATTGCTGTGTCTGAATGTGAAAAACATGCTATTGGCATGTCTGGCCCACACACATGCCATTTTGTTACCTTTTGTGGGTGTGCTTATGTGGGAGAATTGGGGGTGTGTGAAAAAAATACATTGCAGCTAAAAGGGGGCTGGAAGGGTGTTTCTTCCCTTGGTGAAGTTAACTAAACTTTGTGTTGTATGCCTGCGTTTTGACTGGAACTCATCACATGGGGTCAGGTATGGAATTTTCCACTTGTGGCATCGTGTCAGTGCTCAAACTATTTCAGATGTTGGAGCATTTAGGATTTGGGATTTTTAGATTAGGGATGCTCAACCTGTAGTAATAATAATAATTAAAATCAGTAGGGTTCAAACTTAAAATCTAAATTTTATGGCTTTTTGAATATGTGGCCAAAGAGAGACTATTCTCTTTCTCATATATGAGGAACTATGGCTCGAAGTAGTTTAGCAACTTGTCCAGATTTCCTATTTACTAATGACAGAATCTAAGTAGAACTCAAGGTCTTTAATTACTCTTCAGTGAGTGCATTTACTATAGTTAATAGATATATATTTCTCAGTCTGAAAGGAAATGGACATCTCAAAATAGCTATTAAAAAAGAATGCTTCAGGCTGGGCAAGGTGGCTTATACCCGTAATCCTGGTACTTTGGGAGGCCAAATCAGAGGATCACTTGAGGCCAGGAATTTGAAACTAGCCTGGGGAACATAGCAAGACTTTGTCTCCACTAAAAATAATAATTAAAAAAAATTTTAGTTGGGAGTGGTGGTATATGCCTGTAATCCTAGCCACTTAGAAGGCTAAGGTGGGAGGATTGCTTGAGCCCAGGAGGTTGAGGTTGCAGTGAACTGTAATGGTGCCACTGCAATCCAGCCTGGGTGACAGAGTAAGACCCTGTCTCAAAAAAATAATAATAATAAAGAGTGCAAGAATGCATTATATTCACATCATTCATTTTTTGAAAGTGAATTCAAGGGATTCAGAAAGCTAAAGAATAGTATATTTAAATGAAGTCTTGAGGAAGTTGTTTCTTCTTAACGAGTATCTTTAATCTAAAGGCTTTTATGTGCTGCATGAAAGAATAAAGCTTTTGATATTTTGAGAGAAAATATATATATATATATGTATATATATAACACATTCTATGTATTATAAAAATATACAACCCATTGTCTATTGAGAACTTGCTCTATAAAGTTTTGAGATTTTTGGCATTCGTTTACTTCAGGTATACTTTCCCCAAATTAACTTATATCTCACTATTCTGTATTTGCTTTGATTATTTTTACACCATTTCTCAGGCTAAGAATGAAGATTTCAGTTGTTTATTTATAGTGTGAGGGACTTTGTAAAATAGACTTCTGGGCAGTCCCTACCCTTCCTGTTTCATATATTTTATATGTTCAAAGAAAAGCCATTAAGAGAACTAAAGATTTAATTAAAGGAAACTAGAAGACCTGTATGAATTTAGTAGTAAGTTTTGATAGGAATGCAAAGATAATGGAGCTGCCTAAAACTTGTCTGTTGATGATGTTAAGGCCTTCACTGCATTAGTTACTTGTCCTTAGATTCCAATTATTTGCAGGAAAAGTGGGGGCAAATATGAACTAAATAGAAACAAGTTCCAAAAGCTTATAACATTTCAGTTTTGGTCAATGATGACTATGAAACTTAAAGAAATTGCACACTCTCATGTCTTTCTCTTCTCGCAAGTTGCAACAGGAACTTCTAGCCATAAAACAGCAACAAGAACTCCTAGAGAAGGAGCAGAAACTGGAGCAGCAGAGGCAAGAACAGGAAGTAGAGAGGCATCGCAGAGAACAGCAGCTTCCTCCTCTCAGAGGCAAAGATAGAGGACGAGAAAGTAAGAGGCACCAGGGTAAACGATGGACTCTCTTTCCTCATCGTTAGCTGATCATTATTCAGAAGAAAGCCTGATAAAGAGGGCAGTTAGACTCATCAAAATTGTCTGTGTTTAATTAAAAACATAGATTACAGACCCAACTGTAAAGTTTTGACATTCACATACCAGCTCACATCATTGAGTCTGCAGAGCATCTGAAGAAACAAACATAGCATTATGTGCCAAAGATGCTAATTTCTATTGTTTTCAACCTTAAAAATAATGTCATGCTAAAGCAGTCTAGTATATGCAATCCTGTTTAGTAATCAGCTTGTATCCACATCTCCTGACTATGCCTTCCTTACTCCTGGACAAGTAATAATTGCTCTCTAAAGCCTTGCCTCCATTTAGTTTTGGCATACTCCAACTTTGAGAAGATTTAAGGCATAACACTTGCAAAAGAACTATCCACAAGAGGGAGACAGATCCAAATAATTCCCCTGTATAAGGTCAGTTCAAAATCAGGTCTTAGCAAGGTTTAAAATTTGATGACTTGAGCTGGAATTGTCAGCAATGTTTATTTGGTTAATACTCAAAGGTTTTTTTTTTTTTTTTTTAACTAAGGTTTCAAACTAGCCACTCAGAAAATATTATTTTAATGTGTATAAAGGATTTAATATGAATCTAATCCCTTAGGATAACGTGATAATTCAAATGCAGTGTTTTGTTCCTCTGCAATATTTTTTAAACTTAAAAAAAATTGATTTTCGGAATTCCCTTTTTGTAAAAGTAATTAAAGAAATCATTGAAAGTCTTTCGAAAATTTGCAGTTTAAGCAGTAGTTATAAAGCATTACTGTACTGTTTTCTAAAGCATTTTTGGACTGTGGTTTCTTCTTTTAATAGGAAAACTTTATATGCTATGACCAGCGATATTACTTCTTAATCTTTGTTAAATATTCTAGAGTCATGAGAGGATAAAACTTACCATCGACATCTGTTTCTGTCTGTGTGTGTGTGTTTGTGTGTGTGTGTGTGTGTGTGCGTGTGTGTGCGTGTGCGCGTGCGTGCATGCGTCTATTTCAGGGGCAGTGGCAAGTACAGAAGTAAAGCAGAAGCTTCAAGAATTCCTATTGAGTAAATCGGCAACGAAAGACACTCCAACTAATGGAAAAAATCATTCCGTGAGCCGCCATCCCAAGCTCTGGTACACGTATGTTCAGTGTTTGGCTGTTTTCATTCCTGGGGTATAGAACACAGGTTCTGTAGTTAGCCAACCTGAGTGCAAATCCTTAGTCTGCCATTTCCTCGAATGGCAAGTTCCTCAAATTCTCTAGGAATCAGTTTCCTTCTCCATAACAAAAGGAAAATAATAGTGCCTGTCCTCTGGAGTTGCTGGGATGGTCCTATGGAATAATGTGGTAAAGTACAAAACAGAAAGAAGTGCTAGCATTTCTGATAAATGATAGCATTTATCATCTTGAGGGCAAGTATATGTTCTTTGATGAGTGAATAACTAACAAATTACATTTTCCATTTTCATCTGGTGGATCTGATATCTATATAGTAATGTCAGAAGATTTAGCAGATTGTGATTTTATTACACTTGACTTGGTATAAGATGGAGGTCAGAGCTGTTTTCTAAAGACTAGTAGAATTTAGAAAAAAGGAAGGAAGAAAAAAGATAAGGGAGGGTAGGGAAGGGAAGAAGAGAGGTTGCTAAACACATAACTCAAGTCTTCCGTGAAAAGTTTTACCCCTGCCCACCTCACCTCACTTCTTCCCAGCCAGAAAAATAATAGCTTGGCTTCTGACACAAGCTGACAACATAATACACTGTGGTATTATCATTTTTATGGAACCATATTTCCACAAGTCCAATACACAGATATTTCAATAAAATATGGAGGATATGGTGATTTTAAAACTCAGGGCGGCCAGGCGCAGTGGCTCACGCCTGTAATCCCAGCACTTTGGGAGGCCAAGGCGGGTGGATCACGAAGTCAAGAGATTGAGACCATCCTGGCTAACATGGTGAAACCCCGTCTCTACTGAGAGTACAAAAATTAGCTGGGCATGGTGGCGCGTGCCTGTAGTCCCAGCTACTTGGGAAGCTGGGGCAAGAGAATTGCTTGAACCCAGGAGGTGGATGTTGTAGTGAGCCGAGGTCACACCACTGCACTCTAGCCTGGGGACAGAGTGAGACTGTCTCTAAAAACAAAACAAAACAAAACAAAAAACGCAGGGCAAAGAACAGACAGGCAAATCATATATGGCTAATAGATAATAGTTTCATTTCTCTCATAAAAGTATTAGCAAATGACCATAGACTTTTACCCTTAAATGTTTTTCAATCCCTCACACCATTAAAGATAGGAATAGTACTTGATTACTCTGTTATATTGATATTGTAAGCAGCCTGGGAGTTCTATTTAAAGAGTTAATATACTTATAAGCCTATTTTATAGGTATCTGCCCTTCTCTGTATCCATAAAGAGGCAAAAACACATTCCATAATGTTTTATAAATTTTAATGATTTTCATAATTTCTGTCATGGATGTCAGTTGACATGATAAATGAATCTCTGAAGAACAATTCCAAATATTTAATCAATATCACAAATGACTTAAAAAGAAACACCAATTTGTTAACTAAAACTACACACATAATTTATAGCTAATTTATAATTCAAAATTAAAGTCTGTTCTAAGAAAAAATAATACCATTTTAAAATGAGAAACAACTACATGCAAAGAATTTGTTAGTTAAAAGTTCATTAGCTGTTTTCTTAGGTAATACTAAACAGCTCTCACATGTTACTTAGCAATATTTTTGGCAGTTATAGCTACATGAAACATCCTTCAACCAATAAAGTCTTAAGAATGTATGATTTAAATAAATAATACTGGTAGAACAATCATTGTGATGGTGATACTATGTCTTGTTCATTGTTTTCATTTCATATATAGTTATAGATATTTATATCTATTAGATAGTCAATGTTTAGTTCTATAAACTGTTCTCCAGCAGCACAGTTGCATCTCTTAAATTGTATTCATCCAGGAAAAAGAAAACATTTTTAAAATCAGTTTCATATTAAAGAATATGATCCCCAATTCTTTACTATTGAAACTACTATTGAAGTCAGGAGATGTGAGTCTGTTAGCACAATGCTGTGTTTTCAGCAAAAAAGGCTACACACATGTACTCACAGGTACTATCTAGCAGTTTTTTTTTTTTTTTAAATGAAGTGGGTGAGGCTGTGGTTTGTATATACTAAGGAGAAAGAGCAAAAACGTAGCTGAGGCACGTGTACAGCATGTGCAGCTGATAATTCCTAATTCAACAGGCCGTAAAACCTACTGAGTAAATAGTGAAACTCCCTTGTCTTTTCTAGGGCTGCCCACCACACATCACTGGATCAAAGCTCTCCACCCCTTAGTGGAACATCTCCATCCTACAAGTACACATTACCAGGAGCACAAGATGCAAAGGATGATTTCCCTCTTCGAAAAACTGGTAAGTTGGTTTAACAAGAACTCTGTTTGCTCTTCTATAACACACATGTAAGTTTCATTTTGCCACACCTCTAGAGGAAAGTCAAAGGATTTGAGTCATAGATCATATACCTCCCCACCCTGACCCCAGCATAAGCAAACATGCTCACGTGCACATGCATACACACACCCTGCTTATTTCCACATCAGTTGATTCACAACATAATCAAAATATCTTTTACATTTTAAAAGTTTATCATATTTGAATTTTAGCCAAATTATTTTCTTATTAGGAATAAATAAAAATAAAATTTTGATTTCTCAGAAAATCTAACTCTTCTCCATTAGATAGGGCCTTTGTAATGTCTTTCATCAGCCTGGTTTTCTACTGAGCCTCAACCATTTACCACAAAAATGAGAATAATACACTTTAACATTTTTTGACAAATATTTTACAGACCTTAAATTTTAATTGTTCTTGTGTTGAAAGCAGGTAAGGCCAAAGCTACCTTCTGAGTGAGTGACTTGCCTAATATCTCATGGATAATAATAGAACTCGAAGTGAAATTATACCTGATAATCTCATGCAGTTATGTTAACATTTATTTAGGGGAAATAGCACAATGAAGCTTTTATTGGGAATTTAGTAAACAGTTCTGTGGCTCTGAGGATTGTATTTGTTGTCCCATCTTTGTCTCCTTTCTGAGCACTCTGATGTGTATATATTTAATGTCTTATATACTCTTACTGCTATAATAAATATGATTAAACCTTAAATAGATATACATATAAATAGCATTTGTGTACATTCTATTCTAAATCTCATGTTGTTTGCCAAAGGCAGTTCTTTAGAGAGTAGTAAATTTAAAAATGTTTATCTCCACAACTGATCTGAAAAGATATTCATATAAGATAGCTTGGTCTATTGTATTTGACTCAAATCTATGGGAAGAAGTATAGATTTATTTATTTTATATATGAAATCTGCCGAGTGAAAATAATTTCAAATAATTATATTCATTTTCCCAAGCAATTTTGAGTAATTAAAGTGAATATAGATTATAAAAACACATGCTGAAGCTATTTTGTCATGTTATTTACCTGTAGCATTATAAAGATTTAAAAATAAAATTAATTATGAATAGAATTTGTTACTCATCGTCTATCCTGTATTGTACCAGGCACTAGGAAAGGATGTTTAAACACTGCAAAAGAACCTGTGCTTTTTAATTTAAATAGCCCAAAGATTTTTGCATGTCTACTAAATGATGATATCAGCATTATAAAATACTTTAATAGAAGTCTATTCAAAGGCAAGGATAATTGATTTTTATGCACTGCATCAGAATTTCACACTATTGTCTACAATCAGAATGTCTTTCTTGTAAAGAAACTTTTCTACGATAAAAGAACAAAAGCAAAAAGTGAGCCTCTATGTTATTTCTAAAACATGAGTATACTTTATGAAAAGTGATCTATAAAGAACATGAGTTTTAGAATGTGGGGACTTTGATCTGCAGACTTGACATTTATTTGTGAGTTGCATGAGTAGGAGCTATTTACTGAAGTTATGTAGATACTAACCCAGGTCTTAGGGCAGTGACTGGCATTCAAGAGTCCAAGGAGTTACTAAAAGGAAAGAAAAATATGGATTCCCCTTATGGTAGGGGGTTACTGATGAGTGATACAGTTACATTCACAGGGAAAGCCTTCTTTCCTGCTGAGCACACAGCCTTTGAATATATCCTTACCACTGGGAATATTGAAAACTGACTGCAGAACTGATATTGACTTTGAAAAGAAGTGGAATTTGGGAACATTAAGCACACAGAGAGAAAATCTAGTATTTTTAATACTTAAGGAGAAGTACTAGAAACCCATACTTTGTGCCCCACTGTTGCCATGCGAACAGCTTAAGGTTTTTCCTCTGTGAAGAATAAATAACAAGCTGTTAATTTATTCTCATTGAAATTCTCAATCCACAACAAAATTTAAAAAGAAATCCTGCTTAGGATATATATGTAACAAACCCTATTTAATTCTGTACAAATATGCAAGACATTTTCTTTGCCTTATTATGTGCTATATAATAATACTGAAAATCTCTGTTCTTTTCTAGAGGTATTTTTTCTGCGTTTGCTCAGTATTTCATGTTTCTTCCTTTTATGTTGAAAATATGATATTTATGAAGTGTCTGGCTGTTGATCTGTAATACTAAACATTTTCAAGCATTGTAGTAATAAAGTTCTTGAACAGCCATTAATACTTTAATAACTCTATAGGGGTTTCAAAATATTCCTTAATTCAATTCCCATCGTCTGTTTAAGAAAAGTAAGATATAATTAAATACAGATGCTTTCTACACACTATCTAAAATACTTAGAGATACCCTTTATTAATTACAAAATAGATGGAACTCTTTCAGCTTTTATAAATATAATCCATTTGGTGTCTTTACAATTCCATTGTGAGAAAACTTAAGACATATATTTGCACTAAAAGAACAATGCTGAAATGTTGTCAAATAATAATTTTTACTTCAACATTTATTGTATTTCAGTGATTCAAAAGTCTTTACAAACAAAGTAAACAACAAAATTTTACCTTAATAAAACATATGTGATGATTGGGTAAACTGTTTAAAATAATTTGTATAAAGCTGCATTATACTAAATGAAATCTAGAATAGTATCATTGATCACAGAGCATAAACACCAGCACAGCTACTGTAGAGTGATGCTTTGTTATTAGAGCCAGATTCTAAACCTCTGCTGTCTGCTTGGATTTCATTGAACTCAATCTTAGAGTTAAAAGACTTGTTAAATGAGTGTATTCTATCATTTGATCTATGTATGATACTATTTTAGTTTCTTTTAAATCTACATCAGCAATATGTATTAGCAAGCAACATTTATGAGAGTAGAACTGGAATCAGAGTTAGAAAAGTCCTAATGATCTTACATTGACTGAGGTAGCCCTAGGGATGTCCCTTAAGCAGTGAGCACAATTTGGAACCTCTCTTGACCTTTAAAGACCTTCCGAAGACAGTGATAACCCAGGAACAGTTAACTACAGAAATCTCATTTGCCGCAGAAATCTGACCTATGTCACACAAAGTGGACCTTTACTTCCTTCCCCTTAGGAGAATCACAGTTGCTCCTAGAATTTGGGCATTTTAGCAACATGAAATTATATTAAGAGTTGGCTCTACATGCCTATTCCAATTCACTTTTCTTTAAAACATAGGAATGGAGTGTCTTCTCCTCCTTTCATAACAACAGACATCAAAGGCTTTACATAACTAGTTTTGAATTGGTTTGAATTTTTATATTTATTGGCCACACTTAAAGTAGTACTTCCTTCTAGAATTATACTTTATAATTTCTTTTGTTCTATAACATAAGGGTGTGTTGATAGGAAAAATTTGGAATATTTTACTAAACGTACTTTGGCTGAAAATAGTATCATTGCTGTAGTAGATGACTTTATTGTTTTTATATAGTATACTGCTGGACTGATAATAAACTATCAAGTAGGGAAAGGAAGTTTTGAAAATAGTACATATTTCCTGGCATTTTGGAAATGGTACTTATTTCTCGCAGAGATTCTACATATGTGGTGATTTTGAACTGACCTTCAAAACCATTTGGATTTTCTTCCAGTGAGTGTGTGCATATGTTTCATAAAATATTGTGATAAAAATTTTTAGAAGTTTTATGCTCCATTATATTATTGAGGTTTTACCCAGTGAACTTTGGCTTTCTTTGAATATTACAGCCTTTCCATTTAATACTTCTCAACAAAGTGAGTTGGCTGGCTAGATTAACCTCTTAAAGTACACAATCCATATAAAGCTTTGCTTGGGCTAATAAGAGGTTTTTCTAGCCCCACTGAAAAATTTATTTTAATGGTCAGCAACACTAGAATAAGACTCAAAGATGGAAAGGGTCCAAACATAAGTGAAGGTTTTGGAAGGCCAATATCATTTTCCATACTGAGTAAATTGGAAAGAAGGCAGAGATGAGATATGCAGCTTTATAAATTTCCTCTTGGTATAGCAGTCAGCAGTTATGTTCTAGTACCTTGATGACCTATTCAAGTCATTATAATGAAAACAACAATATATTTTTTAATGGTTTAGAAGATCTCTTCTTCTCTCTCCCTCTTTCTGTACCTCTCTGAATACACTTGTGCATGTGTACATTGCATACATGAACATTATACACATTTCTGCAAAGATATCACTAAGATGGCTTAGGCTTATAATGATATTTGCTCAAAATCTTATTCAAGGTTGACAAACATAGAGCATTTTTATATATTTTAGGACTCTATCTTGGTTACATTGTTTTGACTAAACTTGTTTAAAAATATTGAAATATACTCTAGTAATGAATTTTATACCAGTTTTCTCAGAATTGAGAAGTAATATGGCCATTGTAATTCAGGCTTTGAATCCACACATACCACTTGCAAATTTGGCTCCTCATTCTTGAGTGATTAAACTCTCTAAGCCATGATTCCCTCATCTGTCAAATGAGGAAAATAATTGCACTTGATTTCCACAGTTATTTTGAGAATGTAATTAAATAATGCATGGAAAGCACTTAGGATCATACCTAGGATTTAAGGAGCGCTTACTCTTGATTGTATGTTGGTAGTTGACAAGGAAATTTTATTTATTTCTATTATGTCAAAACTAAATCTCTTTTTGTTGTAGAAGGTCTTTTTAATGTCTTACATTCTTCCACCTTTATTAATAAAACAAGTCAACTAAAAAGAGGGATCAGTATTTTCTTTTTAAGCTATGGGCAACTCCCAGGACTATTGTCAAAATGGGGATAAAGTTCTTTGTTAATTTTGCATATTCTCTAGCTTTTAAAGTTCGCAATGGTATCCAGAGGAAGCAGCAGGCTGCATGCCTATAGTCCTAGCAACTCAGGATGCTGAGGAGGGAGGATTGGTTGTCCCAGGAATTTGAGTCTAACCTGGGCAACATAGGGAGATCCCGTCTCTTAAAAA